AGCAATAGACTGTTCCAATGACATTGAAGTAAATTTTGATAGTAATTAAAATATAAATATATTAAAGTTGTAGATATAACATGATGTTGTAAGGCTAACGGCTGAAAGAAATCAAAAGCAAAATAAATTAGTTTTTTTTATTTATTTCATAACTGATAGGATATTTATACCAAGTAGCAGTAACGTTGAGCTATAATAATAATACCACATAAATTAGTATGTAGGTTTTTTATTTTCAAACACTAGCAGTAATTGCCCAAACGTTAGCAACAAATTATAAAAATATAAATGTACTAACAATATTTAAAGTAATTGAAATTGCATAGACAACATGAAAGCTTTAAACTGCATCTACCCAAAATAAATCGTAATTTTCATTTTGAAAATCTAGTACAATACAAAAACTTCAGTCAAAGAGTTAAATGGTATTAAAGCAATAACAGTACGGGAAGAAAACAACTTTAACGTACAAAGGTTTAATAGACATATGGTTTCACATATATAATCAAACTTATGCTATGATAAAGACACAACCTAACAAATATGATTTATTCGAAATACATGTAAGATAATAAATTGTTTACTACAGTTTGAACCAAGCGGCAAGTGGTAATCTCATCAATCAAGTATTCAATTGAGGCTTCAACAACAGTACGGAAAGAAAGTAGTTTTAATCTACAAAGGCTTTAGATTGTTATAAAAAATATATACAAAATATAGTTTTCCTTTTCCGTAAAGCCAAACACAAAACATTATATTATAAATAATGTTATAATAAATAAATAAGAAAGCTTTTAAGGTATAATGAAATTGAAGAAAACAAAATAATAGGTAAGTAAAAGGAAAATAAATAATAAGTAAGAAGGTGAGTTTGGTACGGTGAAGCACGTCAAAGACGTTGTCCTAAAGCCTTTGTAGTCTCCCTACGTGCAGGTACTGACAGTCTACAAGACTCCAAGATACGACCCCTTGTACACAAACTCAAGATCCGCTATGAGCACATTCATAGACGGATATGGGTATCCAAGTCACAGAACCATTGCCAAAATAATAATATAAAGTAGAGAATATATATAGAAGTAGAAAAGGAGAGAATTAGTTTATGGTGGTGATTGTGGTATGTGATATTCTAATGGTGTACTGTGTGTGTATCAAATGTGAAGGAGGAGTGACCTTTTATAGGCATCAAAAAACATGTAACCTTCACCAACCAAAAAATTAAGGCATTCACCAACCAGAAATAAAACCTGAATATTAAATATTTATAACCCCCACAATAAATAAAATAAAATAAAAAAATAATTAAATAAATGAAACGGTTAAAATTTTAAAACCTTTTAAAATTCCAACATACTCTATCATTTGAAAATTTTGTTGATATGCATTTTTTTGGGGTTGCGCTAAATAAATCTCATCAACTGCTGTTTGTGCAGCTTATGGTGGAATCCTTGTTGTTATCACTGGATAAATTCTGTCATAACCTTGAAATTTTTATCAGTATGACACAATTGCTCTCAGCTTTTTTCGAAGTGTACTTTGAAGCTGAGCTGGTACAATTCCTAGTTTAAATGCTTAAATGTCAAGAAACCGGCCTGCAGTATGATGCCATTTTCAGGTAAGCTTCTTGTAATTGTGTGTTCACTAGCTTTTTTCTGGCAGATAGATGATTTAACCTCTGTTTATATTTCTCAGTCATGAGAGCAAACTACTAAATTGCTCTAATGAATGTACTTAATTATGCTTATTATATTCAGAAAACAAAACCACCCCAGCACAATGTTCATGGATTGAGGTGCCTGGGTTTGACATCACATTTGATAGCTTGTCGCAGCACAACGGTCTATCTCTTTGTCTCTATCTTTTTGCCATGTTCTCTTCGTCATGTTGGCTGAAGATTCTAAATTTACAGGCACTTGAAGAGAACGTAAAGACAAAAGTCTTGTAGAAGGACCTGCCGTTGCTGATGTTATTACAGGGGAGGGGAAAACAACAACTTGAAAAATGTGCAAGAAGGTAGAGCTAAGTCAACCCAAGAATAAATTGATTAAGTTAAGATCAAATTAGTAGAATTTGTGAGCTCCTTTATTTCTAATTATAGGTAGGAAGTATGTATGTAATAGAATAAAGATTGGTTGACTATGTAATAACTATTGAATCTTCAAGTTTTATGAAAAAAATAAATTTTGAGTTTATATATTCGTTAATAAAGCATTATAATTGGCTTTCTAGTTAAAATCGTTGTATAGAATCATAGGAAACAAAAAACTAAAATGTGACAGCTTGGGAACTTATTAGACGTCATTTTTAAAGATAATAAAATGATGGTTTTATTGGAAAAATTGTTGTCTATATATATAATCAATGACTACTGTTAACACAATACTGTCTCCATTTTTAAAACAATACTGTCATCTTTATATACAATCAACGATAGTTTTTAACAAAATACCGAAATCTTTACCCATAAATGACGGCAATTTTTAATAAATTGTCGTCTTTACCCATAAACAACCACAGTTTTTAACAAAAGACTGTCGTCTTTACATCAGAACAACGACGGTCATTGCTAAAAACCCTCGTCTTTACAGATAAACAATGATGGTAAAAAGCTGTCGTAGTTTGATACTTCAAAAGATGGCTATCGATTTAACGACGGTTTTCAAAGCATCACAACGACAGTGGATCCCTGTCGTCTATTTCATTTTTTGTAGTAGTGACAAGTTGTGTAAAGATATCATTGGTAGAAGTGAATGAGTCCCATATTCCTTTATGATATCGTTGGTGGAAATGAATGAATCACATATTCCCTTATGATATCATTGGTGGAAAGGAATGAGTCATTTATTCCCTTAAGATTCTAATATGCTTGTTACTTCCATAGCTAGAAGAAGAAGAAGAAGAAGAAGAAGAGAGAGAAACAAGATGGAGAACATGTGGGTTTGTCTTGCAAGATTTTATAATTATCATTATCCTGGTGTGTGGGTTATGTAATGTGTTCTAAAAGTTTTTATTTGTGATTAATGTGAAAATCATGGATTTATTCTATTTACAAATCTCTCTATATTTTTAAGTGAAGCAAGTCTAATTTGTGCAATATTTTATACAATATATATATATTTTTGAAGTTTTTGTGAAGTACGTACTATTTATGGAACATGAGAACTTCAGTGAAGGAGTATCTGAAGGATAAATGTACCAAATGGGGACATTGGGTAGTGAGGCCAATAGAGGTCACATGCTGGGTACAATTTGTGAAAGATAACCAAGATATGAAGTAATGATATGATATGATTTGGATTACGTATTTTTTATTAGGCAAAATTGTAGCAATGGTCCCTCGACTAAGACCAAACTTTACTTTTCGTCCCTCATATTGTTAAATTGTTATGGTGGTGTTTCAATTAGATCTCATGTTGTATCATTGGTTTTTCCGTCAACTCAGTTAAATTTTCTGTCAAAATTAAGGGCAATTTGGAAAATTCATAATTTCTCTCTCTCTCTCTCTCTCTCTCTCTCTCTCCCCTCCTCTGCGCTCTCCCACTTCCCCCCACGATCTCTTCTTTCCCCAACCCCAGCACCACAAACCCAGAACCCTCTACCCTAGGCCGCAACACCAGCACGCACGAACCTAGAACCTCCACCCCAGATATGATCACAGAGAAGCAGAGGCATCTTTTCTTTTGCTTATATATATATATATGTCAATTTTGCCAACCATAGCCCGCCATATGTAACAACCATCAGCCGTATACGCACATCAAATTCTGTTGTTCCATTTAAAGCAATCATCAAAGCTCTGGTGGCCATGATCGAACCTACATGGACCATCATGCTTGACCATCCACAAACATAAATCATATGCATTCCTCTTGTGCTTGTAAACGTCGAACCATTCGATTCGAGATGGGCACCCAAAGCTGCAGTAGAATTGTGTAGTTCCCCAAAAGTTGGGCGAGAAATGAAACTCAAAGCTAGCATTGTAGTGAAGTCGGTGAATGCCAAGATCGTCATTTTTGGATTTACAATGAACGAGAACATCCGACTTTGGATTCAGTAAACCATTGATAATTCCACAAGTCATACCCTCACACATGGTAATGAGTGCAAAAATCAACGATATGATGATGATCCATCGATCCATCTTTGCTTGTATTTTTGTATGTTGAGACACATTTAGTGTGTGGGATGCGTAGAAATTTATACAAGAGTGTTCTATAGAGACATCCACACATACCTAATACATGTTAGTATTCATCCTTTTTCTTTCATAGGTTATATCTTTTCATTGACAAGTTATATATATTTTTGGTACAATACTATAAATGCTTTTTTCCTTTTTTTTCTTCTTAATTTTTGGTCAAGAAGAGAATCAACATATTCTATTACCACACAAGTGAAATTTTAGTCTAAAAAGAACATAAGATGTAAAATTACAGAATACATGAATGATTATATATTGATGGCCAAGATCAGCTAAACTGTTAATTAGCTACCATACTTGCCACTCGATAAATATGGATAAGTGTGGGAGGAGATACCAAATATCTGGGACAATAGAAGAACACTAACAGTGCGTTTGGATGAGGAAATTTAAAAGTACAAAGGAATTCATAAATGACGGAAATTAATATTCTATAATTTGTAAAGTTTCTTGTTTGGGTAACATATTTGAAATACATAATTTAACCTTTATTCGTAAAGTTATATTTTTTAAAAACTCAATCTCTCTTTGAATTTTAGAAATGACGACTTTTTGATATACAACTGATTACCAAATCCTAGCCGCTCTCTCCCTCTGTGAGTCCTAAAGGAAAATTCCATAGAGGGGGGAGGAGGAAGAAGCGTCACTGCTCCTCCTCCCCCTCCTCTCTTATCTTCTTTTCCTTTTAGGTTAATGAATAAGTCCACTGGGCGTTTTGAATAAAAAACCCATTGTGGTGGTTTCTTCTAAGCCATGGTTAGATTGAAGTTCCACACATCACCCCTTTTAGTCTATGTTCTCAATCAAATTCTACTCTCAAAACCAACTCCGTAATGCTGCTCATGTCCTCTAAATTTGATTCTACATCGTCTTTGACGGAGGTTGCTGCAAATCACCCAATTATGAAATCATCATTTTTGGACAAACAATCAACAAAAGGGTTTTGAACCTTTGCCCGCATTGGTAGAGGTGGAAAAACTCAACCAACTGATTTTTATTCTTATTAATGAATATAAACTTCACTCACTTTTAGATCCTTTCGAATCTTATAAAAAAACATTAATTCATGAACTCAGCCCAAAAAAGAACATTAATTTGTGGATCCATAACTAGAACACAAGAACTTAGAGGAATCCTTGACAAGACTGTAACAACCATCAGCCGTATACGCACATCAAATTTTGTTGTTCCATTTATAGCAATCAGCAAAGCTCTTGTGGTCACGATTGTACCTACATGGACCATCAGGCTTGACCATCCACAAACAATACGCCAGTTCATCCCTCTGGTGTTTGTAAATGTCGAACCATTCAATTCGGGATGGCCACGTAAAGCTGCAGTAGAATCGTGTAGTTCCCCAAATGTTGGGCTTGAATTCAAACTCATAGGTAGCATTGTAGTGAAGTAGGTGAACGCCAAGATCGTCTTCTTTGGATTTACAATGAACGAGAACATCCGACTTTGGAACCAAACCATTGATAATTCCACAAAGATTACCCTCACAAATGGTAATCAGTGCAAAAATCAACGATATGATGATGATCCATCGCTCCATCTTTGCTTGTATTTTTGTATGTTGATACACATTTAGTGTGTGGGATGCGTAGAAATTTATAGGGCAAGAGTGTTCCGGAGACATCCACACATACCTAATATACGTTAGAATATGAAAGTTGTCCAAGTTATACTATTCATCCTTTTTCTTTCGTAGGTTATATATTTTCTTTTCATTGACAAGATATCTTTTTTTGTTGTAGAATACTATAAATGCTTTTTTTTAATATTTATTTATATTTTTTATAAATGAATGTCAATTACAAAGAGAATTCTCTTTGGAAATTTCATATACTATAAATGCTTGTATACATCTGAAATTTTAATATGTAAAATTACAGATACATGAAAGTTCATATGTGGATGGCCAAGATCAGCTAAATTGTTAGCTACCATATTTGCCACTCGATAAATATAGATGGTTGTTAGAGGAGATATATACCAACTCTTATAACAACTATTTATTACCAACTGACATGGCATATGATATGGTAATCCAAGTGATTGCCACATCCTTCATTTTATTTTATCTTATTTTATTTGGTTAATTTGTATTAATTTATATAACTTTTATATGTTTATATCTTAAATAGACATCTTTCATCCATTGAACGCAGCCACAACCTAAGAACACCCTCCATTGCCGCTCTACAGCTCTTTCATAAGGCCATCTCCAACTCATGAGGCCAAACCCAAATAATCCCAAATTATAGCCTAATTCATCTCCAAACTCAAGAAAAGTAAGAGCCAAAATTTGGGAAAACTCAAATTTGGGGTCAAATACTAGTCTAGCTATTGCTTGGACTGGAAAATGTTTTGATGGAGCCCACTCAAAGCAGAAGCAGTCCATGTGCAAGGAAGAATCTGTGGGCCCCGCCACTGCTGCTGTGCTGTAGCTATTGTCTCGCCACGTGGCAAGCCTGGTGATGTTGTCATTGGAATCCAATGGCAACAATTCAAACATAATCTTTTTATTTAATTTTATTTATAATTCCAATAGTAACTCAAATCAATGATTCATATTAAATTCAAGCTATTTTAATGATAAAAATAAAGATCCAACGGCTGAAATTTAAATCAAATGGTTAAAATAATATTTTAAATTAATCTAAATCAGATCCAACCCCAAAAATTATTCCTATTGGGTTTCATGTATGGTGAATTTGAAGTATTGTGTGTTTCTTTTGGAATAAAATTATTTTTGTGGGATTTCAATCTTTTTTAGGTCAAATTGTTTAAAAAATTAAATTATGAAGTTATTTAAAAAGATTAAATGAAGAAAAGTTATCCATTTAAAAAAAAAATTAGAATTAAACCACTCTTAAACAATTTAATAAAGTTGCAGATTTAAAATTTGAGTCTGAAGGGTTGGGGGAAAAAGGGTTTGAGTTCGGGAAAAACCCAAGTAGTTACTTTTTAGAGGGAGAAAATTTGAGTTTAAGACCAAATGGATTGGAGAAGGCCTAACCTTCGTGGTACTATCACCATCATTGCAAAACTTTTACAGAAAAATTTAGGAAAAAAAAACTCCAGTTTTTTGAACACCAGATTTAACCTTGCATGAAAAGAAAAAAAAAAATCCGATGCAAGGGATATATACTCATCTATGTAATCCCTAACATCAGTTGTTTTCCTTAATTTATTTTCATGATGGCTCGAGCCATGACATATCTTCTCTGTATCCTCTGGAGTGCAAAGAAGAAAGAGCAATAATACAGATTCACCAACCCAAATAAACTTCATGATAAAAAAAAAAACAAAAAACAAATAGACATAATGATTAATGAAACTAGTACGAAAAACCATATCTGAGTCTCAGCTTTGGACTTATAAGATCATCAACTATGAAAACTAGAACAAGAAAGATGGAGGGCTTTGGACCCAACCCGCACATCTTCCTCGTTGCTAAATCCACAATTTGACCTAATTGGTACTGGCGGTGGGTTGGGTGACTGCAACAAGGACAACAATGGTCCCAAAGTTGAAGATCGGGTGGGATGGCACTCGTTTGGCTGCTGATGTTTCTTTTTCATGATTAATGAAAAATCTCTTTCTTTCTCCAAAAAAAAAAAAAGAAAAAAAAAAGGGTTTGTGTATATTTCTTTTCATTTTCAATTTTTATGTCGTTGCCACCACCACATTAACTTGGAAATGACCATCACCATCCTCGTTGATGCCACCATCCCTACTAACATCATGGCCATTGCCACCACCGCCTTACCATGGCCATTGCCACCACCATCACCATCATCACCACCTTCTAAACAATTGAGGAAATTATAGTTTCGACCAATTGAAACTATTAGTAAACAATGGAATTTGATTAAACAGTTAAAACTAAACCTAGGTCAAACTAAAGGGCATAGAATTTTATTTCCCCTTTGAACAAATTTGTCTTAGGTTTGATAATAAATAAGTAAAAAAGAGAGAATTGATTTTCCCACTTCTCTTTTAACTACTTACACTCTCTTTGTTGGAAATTATACTTGTTGATGCGAAAAAGTGATTTAGCACTCTTAAGCTCAACTTAGTGATTTTGGGCCTTCGGTATCCTTGTGGTCTCGGTAGGGAGCATGATCTGCAATATGAGAAAACGCTCGGTAAGACCTAGGGCACCGGTGTGGTACCGGCAGAAGGCTCTCCAATGCTTAAGTAAGTTCGGATTTAGTAAATTAAACTGACAGATCAATAGGCTTGTATGCCGTTAGTTCTGATTACCTCTATTTTGGGATAGTTGGCCTCCTTTATAGGCCTTGGGATGTGTGCACTTTGTTTAGAATTTCGATGTGGGACTGTGGACATCAATGATGAGCATGCCATGTGTCCCAGGAGAGGGCGTTGCCCTAATAGACGGATCGGTAGGCTGGGTGCCGAGGGCAACCATGACCAGGCTCGATTTCTTCCACGTGTCTTGTTCTTATTGGCCGTTCATCTGGGTATAAACAATACTCCCTTATATGTTATTGTAAAAAGAATTATAAAATAAAAGGGATTGTAAGTGGACAAAAGGGAAGTGGAAAAATCATCAGCACCCAAAAAAAATTGTCAAACGTTTTCCGGTTAACAGTAGTGACTAATCCCTTTCGCCGCGGGAGCTCTCCCAATGGAGGTAAACGGCTGGCCACGAAATGCGCTCCATTCCCATGGGAGGGGATCGAACCCCCAACCTCATGGTTAAGGAATGAGGTGAGCTACCACCACACCACATCTCATGGTTATTATTCACCTTTACTTCAGTATGCTTTGAGGGTACTGGTTTTCTTAATGCATATTTCTTTTTGTCTTTTTTTTTTTTGGACTGCCAATGCATATTTATTTTACTAGAAAAAATGTTATGGTAGTAGTACCGAAATTGCCCAATGGATATATCTAAGATGTCATGCACTCAGGGGAAAAAAAAAAAACAGAAAAAGAGAAGTCAAAACAAAACATTTATTCATGAATGGAAAGTTAGAACACAACTCAGAGCAACCCTTGATCAAGTTGTAATATGCACATCAAATTTTCTTGTTCCAGGGATGACATTGATCAAAGCTCTCAGAGGCATAATTGTACATACATGGACCTCCAGTTTTGACAATCCACGTACAAAACTTGCAATCATCTCTGCTGTGTTTGAAAATGTCGAACCACTGAATTTGTTTTGGCCACACAAAGCTGCAGTAGAATTGTGTACTTCCCCAAAAGTTGGGCTTAAACTGAAACTGAAAGCTAGCATTGTACTGAAGTTGACGAGCACCAAGATCATCGTCTTTGGATTTACAATGAACACTAACATCTGCCGGTGGTTCCAAACCATTGATAATTTTAACATGCGTTATACCCCAAAATTTACCCTCACACATGGTAATGAGTGCAAAAATCAGTAACAAAATGATCAATTTGTCCATCTTTGTATGTATTTTGTATGTTGAGACACATTGGGTATGTGGGATGCCCAACAATTTATAGGCCAAGACTGCTTTGGAGAGATTCACACATATAAGTATCTACCTAATACATATTAGAATATGCCCCCATCAACAATAAATACCATGAATATTGTCCAGTATATGATATTCATGTATGGGTGTCACATCATGCCAAAGTTATTTTTGGTAAGAAATATATTGCCACATTCATCCTTTTTCTTTAATAGGTTATCTGTAATTGATATTTTTTTTTTTTTTTGGGTTGTGGAATACTGTAAATGCTTTGTCCCGCATCACCGCCAACTTATTCTTAATAAGAAATATTTACCACATTTATATTTCTTTATATGGTAATTATTGCATAAATTTTGTTGTTACCATAAATGTTTTTTTGTTTCTAGGTTAGTTTTACTATATATAATATTTGTTTTTCTAAAATATTATTGAGGTAGAATTCATAAATGTTGTCCGGCCAATGTATGATAAGCTCTTCCTTAGCCAAACATTTTTTATCTACTTATTCATTGTATGACAACCTATGTACTAGGTATATCAACATTATATAACGTACCGAAAGTGATTTACCCAACAATTCCATATATTCCCTACTTCTTTGCTTTTTCATTAATTAATGTGGCATTCTATCTCACCACTTTAAAATGTTGTTGCACCAACAATTGCTCATGTTGATAACAGAAGAAGAAAAGAAGAATCGAGAAGCTTCATGATGATAGAGAGAAAACAGAAAAGAAGAAGAATTCAAGAAACTGATCTTTCTGTTATTGACCGAATGACTTACACTTTACGCGTGATAGGTTTTTATGTTACAAGTACACCAATAGCAGCCAAGTAATCGGGCTAACTAATCTAACTAACCTGAGACTAAACACATGATTTACTATAGCAGCCTAACAATACTCACGCGTCACCTAACTAATCATTAGGCAAACAGATTCAACTCCACATTTCCAACCTATAAATTGATAAACACCCTGCAAACAAAATGCATATCCTCCTTACAAAAACAAAACACAAAGATGAATCAATTGAGGGTGTTGCTAGTGACATTTTTGCTCGCGGCTATTGGTGTCGCTGCAATGCCAGCCACGCAGTTCAGATCTAGCGGCGGCATTCTTGACACACATATTCGTATTACCAACGGTCTAGGTCCAGACGTAGATCTCAGTATTCATTGTAAGTCTGCAGATGATGATCTAGGAGAACATCTGATTCATTATGAAACTGTCTATGGGTTTGATTTCAGAATTAAGATTTTTGGGGGTACACAATTCTTTTGTAGCTTTCAGTGGCCTGGCCAATTCCATTGGTTTGATATTTTCATACAAGATAGAGATAACTGCGAGAATTGTGCATGGTTGATCAAAGCTGACGGTCCACGCAGATTTAACAGTGAAACTCGTAGTTATGATGATGTATATCAGTGGAACGAGTAAATTTGTGTCGACGCATAGCTAGTAGAAGAAACTTCAAACATGGGACTATAATATCAAGTACTTATGTTGACGTGGGACTATAATATCAAGTACTTCAGACTTACCTACACTTGTTACCCACCCGAAGTTCTTTACTTTTTATTAACCTTGCATATATTGATTATGTTATGAGTAGAATAGTTATATATATATATAGGGAGCTTCTCCAATGCGAACTCCAAGATGCGAACTCCAATGCGAACTTGTGTTTTAACCGTTGGATGACTTGTGTGCTTTATTTTCTTTCTTTTCGCTCTTCATCCAACAGTTAAAACACAAGTTCGCATTGGAGTTCGCATCTTGGAGTTCGCATTGGAGAAGCTCCCTATATATATATATAACTATTCTACTCATAACATAATCAATATATGCAAGGTTAATAAAAAGTAAAGAACTTCGGGTGGGTAACAAGTGTAGGTAAGTCTGAAGTACTTGATATTATAGTCCCACGTCAACATAAGTACTTGATATTATAGTCCCATGTTTGAAGTTTCTTCTACTAGCTATGCGTCGACACAAATTTACTCGTTCCACTGATATACATCATCATAACTACGAGTTTCACTGTTAAATCTGCGTGGACCGTCAGCTTTGATCAACCATGCACAATTCTCGCAGTTATCTCTATCTTGTATGAAAATATCAAACCAATGGAATTGGCCAGGCCACTGAAAGCTACAAAAGAATTGTGTACCCCCAAAAATCTTAATTCTGAAATCAAACCCATAGACAGTTTCATAATGAATCAGATGTTCTCCTAGATCATCATCTGCAGACTTACAATGAATACTGAGATCTACGTCTGGACCTAGACCGTTGGTAATACGAATATGTGTGTCAAGAATGCCGCCGCTAGATCTGAACTGCGTGGCTGGCATTGCAGCGACACCAATAGCCGCGAGCAAAAATGTCACTAGCAACACCCTCAATTGATTCATCTTTGTGTTTTGTTTTTGTAAGGAGGATATGCATTTTGTTTGCAGGGTGTTTATCAATTTATAGGTTGGAAATGTGGAGTTGAATCTGTTTGCCTAATGATTAGTTAGGTGACGCGTGAGTATTGTTAGGCTGCTATAGTAAATCATGTGTTTAGTCTCAGGTTAGTTAGATTAGTTAGCCCGATTACTTGGCTGCTATTGGTGTACTTGTAACATAAAAACCTATCACGCGTAAAGTGTAAGTCATTCGGTCAATAACAGAAAGATCAGTTTCTTGAATTCTTCTTCTTTTCTGTTTTCTCTCTATCATCATGAAGCTTCTCGATTCTTCTTTTCTTCTTCTGTTATCAACATGAGCAATTGTTGGTGCAACAACATTTTAAAGTGGTGAGATAGAATGCCACATTAATTAATGAAAAAGCAAAGAAGTAGGGAATATATGGAATTGTTGGGTAAATCACTTTCGGTACGTTATATAATGTTGATATACCTAGTACATAGGTTGTCATACAATGAATAAGTAGATAATAAGAATAAAGAACCTCTCTCAAAGAAAAATTAAGCCCATTTAGTTGATTTTGTAGATTGTTATAAAACTAAAGAGATTGTGGAGAGAATATAGAGAAAACTTGAGCTGTAATAGAAATCTGATATTTTCATTTAGACTTTCTTATGTTCTCTATATTACAATGAAGGGAGGAAGTCCACTTATAGGCAAAGTCTCTTGGCTTCCCGTGGATGTGCAATGCATCTCCAAAATCTTCCCCCAACATCGTCATTAAACCTTTGACTATCATTTTCCTATTTTCTTTGTGTGGGCTCCACCACATTCTTTACAACACTCCCCCTTGGAGACCACATGTATGGAATATGCCTCGTTAAAAACCTTGCCAGTAAAACCTAGTGGGACAAAAACTGGTCGAAGGGAAAAAGAGTACTTAACCATGTGTAACATAAAATTCTGTGTATATTGACACGCGTGCAACACTGCCTCGTTAAAACCTTGCCAGGAAAAATCCAGTGGGATAAAAACCTGGACGAAGGAAAAAGAGTACAGTGTGTGAAGGTCTTTATTGATAGCACACTCCCCCTGATGCTTGGCAAAATATCTTTAAGCCATACTGCTGATCATCTTACTGGATATCATATAATTGACACTGCTTCTGTGAGTCAATCTTGTAATATTGTTGGATGCTCCCCCTGAAGAATATCTCCCCCTGAAATCTTCATGACTAACTTTTTCCAATAAGCGACCATAGAAATTTCCAGAGTCCGTGTATCCAACAAAATTTGGACTATTTGTAAGTTCACTTGAAAAAAATATGCCCGTATATGATGTTATGCGGAGATAGCATCAAATATGTCCCAAAGTGATGGTGATGAAGTTGAGTTCTATCTGGAAAATACAATGTCCGGTCCAGTATATTTCCGGAAAATCCTTTAAGTGCCCAACGGATAATCTACATAAAATGCTTCAATACTTTTTTAGTATAAGCAATAATCTCGTTGGCGTAATGCTCGATCTTCAGGCCGAGACAATTATATTTCTTGAACTCTTCAGGAGTTTTGACCAAGTATTAACTCTTCAGGAGTTTTGATTCAATTATCAACTCTTCGGGAGTTGTAATGTGTTGCAACCATATCATAATTAATGTACTCATTGAGGCAATTTATACACATTAGTATTGAGTACAAAATTTGTGCTTCAGGCACACGTCCTTCTGGGACTTGCTTCATACAATTTCAATCCTTCAGGGATTTTGTTTAAGGGATTAAACTTTATGACGCATTATATAGCTTTAGCCCAGCTATTTATACATCTTTAGGGAATCGCTTCTGGTGATATGCTCCGTGTATTTAATAACCCTTAAAGATAATATGTTGGTCTCCGTAAATGTGCAATAAGGAAGTATGACTACATCTGTAAATATGGAGAAACCCAACATTCCTTGTTTCTACCAGAAACATTGTGTCATACAAAATTGGTATATTCCCTTTTATTCCGAACACCCAAGTACAACTTTTAGTATTAACATCTTTTGGATATTTTAAAAAGCAATTTATACTATGAAATTATTCTTTGATCCACAAAATGTTGGCAGGTCCCTATCCCTTTTTTTTTTCTTTTTGTTTTGTTCTTTTGTTTTTTTGTTTTTTTGTATTTATGGGATTAACCTGTATTATTTGTTATAAATAAAATTAATTTTTTATTCTTGCCCAAATGGGCTATTAGCTGAAATCATTAGAATGGGAGGTATCAGAAAGAATTTAAATTCTCATTCCCCAATATCGCTTGTATAAATAAAATAATTGAAGAAATAACTCTAGCCCAAATGGCTAAAGAGGTATTTTAGCCCTAAACCCTAAATTGATATGACAAAATTGTATATTTAAAACATATAGCCGAGCGGCTACACTTTCTTAAATACATTCGGATATTTTAAAAGTATAGCCGTTCGGCTATACATGTTAAATATTAATATATTCGAATATTTTAAGAGTATAGCCGTGCGGCTATACGCTTTAAAAATATTCAAAACGAACATGAAGCTTGCACTCTCAGAGGACGGAGCTTGCAGACGCAGTCGCAGCCATTTCGCTTCTCCATCAACTCAAGCGGTTTCGACTGCTTTGTCCTCCCTGTTCGGCACCGAAAAAAGACCCAACCCGCCTAGGAGGCCCGCCTAGCCGCCTAGCCGCCCAGCAGCCCGCCTAGCCGCCTAGCCGCCTAGCCGCCCACCTAGGCCGATTTTTCGAACACTGCGATTGACTGAAAGTCTGAAACCCGAAATTGAAAAAGTTTAGCTGCAAATTTGAGCTTGATCTTGAGATTGGGAAACCGAAGCAAGCACAAGTCAGGTCCATAGAAGAAGAGATCATGAGACTCTTAATTCATCTAATTCCATTCCTCGCCCTGTTTCCCGCCTTATTCTCTTCTCTCTAGGCTCTCTCCCAACCAGGTTTTTGAGGTTGAGGCAATGACCCTTCAATTTTGAAGGGTAGCAAAGATTATTCAGCCAACATCTCCAATTTTGAAGGATTCAAAAGTTGACAAATATTTTAATCTGATCTCTTAAGAATTTGTGTCTAATAATGGTTAATATGCCGTTAGAGGAACAGAGATAGAGGTGTGCATATCACTGTGCAGGTTGTAACATTTGGCTAATATGTACCTACGGGAACTATGAATATGTCTGTTTTCTAACTGTCCAGCATTCAATCCCATATAGCGTGGCTGGTCTAACAAATGTTCTATAAACTTAGCTTTCAATTCTAGCAAAATATGATGATCACACTATATATATGCTTAACAAAACCCTCCATTTTACCTATCGTGCTTTGATTCTATGAGCCACATCATCTCCATTCTCCCCTTGTATATATGGATGATTGAGTACACGCTAGATAGTGAAAGTTTTTGCTTTTTGATATACTCTTAGTGGTGCAATTGGTTGCTCTTATGTCTTCGTCAGATCCAAAGGCTCCACTTGGTTAGCAGAATTCAAAGGAATATGGTTCCAGTGACCATCTAGTAGATGCAACTTTGCCTGCTACTGAAGTCAAATCATCAGAACTGAGTAGAAGGAATGGTACAAAAAATCTTCACTATTATTATCAACAGTGTCTTCTGCATCACGATTCTCTTTCTTTGTTTTAATGAAAGTTTGTAACTTAATTTGTGTTTCTTATAAAAAGAAAAATTATAAATTGCTCTTATTGTAGAGTTCATGCAACAGAATTTGGTTAGTAAATGTGTTGAGACAGACTTGTTGTATCTACTCAGCTTTTTTTTGTTCAAAATATTTTGGATGTGTTATTAAAAGTGTGAAGGCAGCATTTTATTCCTCTGGTAAATGGATGGTATATGTGCAATGCTCTTATGATTTCTTATCTCAGTTATAGGAGAAACGAAGACTTCCGTAGCTTCTGGAAATGAGCATATTGGGGAGAAGCAATTAACGGATGTCTTAGTTAATTGGCGAAACTTCTTATAAGAAGATGGAGTCCAAAATAGTAAAGGAGCCAGGCACAGTTCCAACATTGAGGCACTCATCCAGCAAGGGATATGACTTACAAATTATTATTTTATTTATTTTGGAACTGCAGAATTGGTTATACTTTAAGTCTTCTTTTAAGTTTAATAAAATTGGTAATATATTTAGGTGTTATTTTTGGGTGTCCAATTCTTTCCTCACAAGTTAAGAGTATATGTCTTCGCAACATCGAAATTGTAACATAGTTGTGATTGTGGTTGGTAATTTTGTTGCCTTGTCATTTATTGAACCTACCTTCCTTCCTTTATGTGGTAACACTTGTGTTGTTGAACATAATCATGCAGATAGTGAAGAAAGAGATCTCGTGAAATTTTTTTCTAGTCTTAGTCTAAAGCTTTCGAATCTTCCTGCTCGAGATGCTCCTTGGAAGTGGGTAACTTCTCCTTTTAAGATGTTACGTATGTGTGTTCTATCATGATTTCAACAACTCATGTTGTGATTTGAATTAGAGTTAATATATTGTTTGGTATTAGAAGTTGATCAGAAAAATGTTGCTTGAGAATATGTGTGGTTTTTTTTCTTTTTCAACTTAAATCTTCTAGTGGGATCGCTTTTGCATCCTATGTTTATGTTCTGAATGCACTGTTTTGTCATGGCTGCTGTTTTACATATTTACATATATCAAGTTAATTAAGTGCTCCCAAAAGCTTCATTGATGTTTCTTTCTTTAGGGGAGGCTTCATCCTTGATGCATCCACAACTGGAGAATTCATTGGTGGGTTCCAAGCACGACCTCCATGTAAGGTCCATTCTAAAGCCTATGCATTTTCACAAAAAAATGCCTCTCATCCTCAATGCTAACTGGCTTCCTCGATCCAATCTTTGGACTGATATCTTCCAAGACATTGAGAGCTCTTTTCTGTCTTCTGGTTGCATGGTTTTGGTATTTGAGTTATGTGGGTGAAGCAACTATCATAAGGAGATGTTGCCCTTCTCCAATAATTT